GCCACCTCAGTAAGTATTACCTTGTTACCCAAAACCTAAGTAGTACTCCGCAATATACTCTATTGGGATCGAGTGTGACTCGGAGAAATAACAGAGAGGATTAACATTTCACAGTTTATCTTCATTGCTTCAGCCGCGCAATGGAGAAAAATTGTACCGCACCACACGGAAAATAAAACCGCAACACACCTGCCAGATATTAAGGGATTCTCCTAGTAAATTAAAGCAGGGCAAAACTAAATTAGTAAACTCGAGCGTTGAAACTAGAAGATAATGTAGAAAAGGGAAGACAACTAGAAACTTTTACAGAAGACATCCCACGGCTCTACTCATAATGATAGTCCACAGCCTAACCATTATATAAGGGCACGGAACAACCTTACTATAAAACAATTTACAAGTAAACGAATATATCTACTACTTTTAAAACTATTATTCATGACATTTTAGACACTTTTTGAAAACATAAGGACCATTGGTATGACGGCATGTTTTTATCCTGCTGGTTGAAAGCTATCCCGGTCTCATCTGGAAAAATAAAGAAATCGCATGGTGCTAGGTCTTGGAGGATTCGCAGAACCTTCACAAATTCCATCACGAAGAGAAACATGGCCACGGTCAACTTCCGTGAAAATGTACCAACGCCTTACGTAGCTCAAATTCTTCTCAAAAGCATTTTGAAGACGAGCAGTGCAATCTTGCTAAGGAGTGAACTTTTAAAATCATAAAAGTCATCGCCCTAAAACCTTTTCGCGTCAATTTTATTTTTGCACGGATGACGAAACCTGTGATAAAAAACAATTGACACTCGACTTTCGGCCAAAAATTATTTTGTTCGAATTTCCTATGTTTTAAAAATACAACATTCGAAATTCAAACATTTATGACCAGGCACAGAGTTTCCAGAATGTGTTATGTATTACATCAACGACGATAAAATTCACTCCATGAAAGAGATGGGCATTAAGTGGAAATTTAACGCACTGGCATGGCCTACCATGTTGGACCATCAGATGGATATGGCACCGCGGGGATGAGGAATTTCATATTCAGTGCGGAAACGGCGCTGCAGGATTGATAACACCATCATTAAGACAAAGTCTGTTTAAAAAAATTTGCTTACAGCTTGTTTAATATTATGCCAGTGGGCTCCAGGTCTAAAAAGACCAGGGAAAGGTGTTTGAAGTGACTCGCAGGACTAGTTTCTCAAATAATTTTCTCAGAAGTGGAAGGAATACTCGCTTCTGTGATTGGAGATTTGTACACCGTGCGCGGCTTGGTGTCTTGCCACGGAATGCCACAAAAAGATGGCAAACAGATATCGACAAAAGGTTTAGAAGATGTGGCCGGGAGCAGGAGACTATCCCGCATGTATTGAACAATTGTGACTTACACTCTGCAGCGCGACAACTAAGGCACAATAATATTCAAAGCAGGCTCGTTAAGGCACTGAGATGCTCAGGACTCGTCACTACTAACCAAACCGTTGAAGGAACACATGGAGCAGCAGCGTTGCTGAGACTCGATATTGTAATTCAAGACGAGCGAAGTTAATAAATTTTAAGAATAAATAAATTTGCTTGTCTCCATTAGGGACTTGGTATGTATACATAGTATTTAACAATATCTTTTGTAACATACATACTAAAAAGCAAATAAATAAGTAAATAGATCAAAATTGTAGACGCCACTGTTCCGTTTGAAAATAGTTTGGCAGCGTTCAGGGCTACTAGAATGGAAAAGATCACAAAGTATGGTAGCCTGGCAGAACAACTTAGGGCACGAGGATATCGGGTCAGTGTCAACGCATCCCGTCCGCCCAGGGAACCCACTCTCTGGGCGGATGGGATGATAACAATCAAAGAGTTTTGGACTTCCTCAAAGTTGGTCGCTTCTACGCAAGGATGATGAGGAGGTTTATGATAAGTGACACAATTAGAAGGTCTCGTGACATATATGTGGAGCACGTAAGCGGGATACGACAGTACACGGTGGAACATGATTTGGATCGATCGGTCAATGTCGTAACATAATGTCGTCAAGTAAAATTTTACATTCTATAGGTTAAACTATTACTACGTCCGTTCTGACTGAGCCTTTGTAGACTTATTTCATCACTATTACCTTTAAAATTTTCATCATTCACTAATTTATTCCCTAATTTTCTTAATTATTAATTGATTTATTCATTGATTGGATGATACAATTTTTTCCATACTAATTTTCTATCGGTAACATCGATTTAATATTTTCACAATATATTTAATAACGGACAAATATAATTATGTGACTGGGAGGAGCTACTGTACCTTTAAAGTTCAAATCGAAATATTAAAATACGAGCAACATTATAGGACTCTCTCAGCTTTGACACCCTCCATTGGGGGGCAGTATTTTCGATAAAAAATCTGTTCTTTTCAGCTTAATATCTGAAAGTTCCCGCACTGCGGGACCAGTATATTAAACTGATTTTTAAAAAGCGACGGGATGTTCGGGGCTCGCTCCACTCCCGTCACGGGTCGGCCCGGCATTGCAGTGCCGCCGGGATCGGCCCACATATATAAAGTTAAACAAAAACAATTTAATTAAAACCTAATCCATCATCAGATTACAGTTGAGGAAACTGCCTGGAAAGTGAAAACTCTTAGAAAGATTGGGAGTGACCAGACGACGTCAGCGTCGTTTGCTCAATCATACTTTGAGTTCAGTTCAGTTTGAGTTTTCTCTTGTGAAATTGTGTTGTGTACCTAACTTGTAAACTTGTAATGTTATCAATTGCAAACAGTGTAGAGCAAAGACCAACGACACGTTTACGTCGATTCGCAATAAGTAGGTACCTATATATTATTAGTTACCTTTTACCTATATATTATTATTTAATTTATAATCTTAAATATAACATATTAAAATCTAAACATAATAATATTATTGTGTGCAATGAATGAAATTAATCATTTATGTATTTAATTATTCGCGGTCATGTTGTACTCGTATATAGAGCGGCGCGAACGAAGGAGGTTAAGGTGAACAGCAGTAACGTTGCGCATACTCATGAGATAGGTACCCCCACCGTATAGTAGGTAATTAGTACTTAACACTACATAACATACAGTACCCTACAGCTGTACAGCCCCACAACACGTAACGAGCAGCTAGCGCATAACCAACTAACTATCCGTTCGTACGTCGTCGTGTAGACTGTAGAGACATACCGATGGAATGGAATGCAAATGCAATGCAGCGACAGCGAGTGTGCAGTGTGCAGTGTGCAGTAAGTGGGTACGGGTAGCGGGGCGGGTACGTGTATCGCAGTCGCGCTGTGCAGCGTGCAGCGTGCAGCGTGCAGTGTGTGCAGTGTGCACAGGGCAACAAGCAGTGCGAGGGCGGAGCGCTGCTGGCGGGCGAGCGCGAGCGGGCGCCGCGCGCGCTTCGCCGCCGCGCGTCGCTGGCGATGGCTCCCGACCTCGTCGAGCGCGCCAGCGTCTAACATCTAACATCTAACATTACACGTGCACTAACCCTACTGTGCACTACTATAACATATATATATATATTATTATTGTACAATACTATAGTGTAGTATAGTCGATTACTGAAAAAGTTGTTGTTGTTTTCGTTACCCGTTGCTATCGCGGCGCAGGCATACGGCGGCACACAGCACATACAGCGCACACACCACACACAATATAGGGCTACTAGCTCGCCCCTATCTGGATCGTCTTTTCGCTTCTTTCGACGGACGCAAGCGAGCACGCGAGCCGAGGCCGAGTCGTCACATCAGAACCCTGTAACTGTAATTTCATAAAGTTATGACAACAGCTCAGCAGATAACCATTCAATTTGAAAATTACATTAAGGATCCTTTTTTTAATTAGATTTAAACTTATCGAAACTAACAATCCAAGTAAATTAATCCACTTTTATATCGCTAAAACAGCAAACCATCACAATGCAATTTGAATGAGTGAAATAATATTAACGTTAATTTGCCGCCACCTACGTGGTGGTGTCATACCACCATTATTTACAATATCACAATTTTTTTTTGAAATCTAACTTATGCCAAGGTCGCGTTAATTATTAGGCCTATTCCTATTATAATCGTTCATATTTATTAATTTTATCTATAAGTAGATAAGTACATAATATCAAGTGAGAGTAAGTCATAATATAATGTCTTATAAAATATATTATGTGAGATGTTTTTATTTTAAAACTGGGTAAGTCGTAGGACATTCATGCTTTTTTTAAATCCAACTAATGCCAAAGTCGCTTTAATTTTTAGGCCTATTACTATTATAATCGTTTATATTTATTAGTTTTGTCTATAAGTAGATAAGAATGATGAACTCTTTCTTCCAGAAGCGGCCCCACAGGAAGTGGACCTGGTCGAGTCCCGACGGTTCGACAAAAAATGAGATTGTCTTCATTATGACGACCAGAAGACAACTGTTCAGTGATGTCTCAGTGATCGCGAGGGTGTAAACCGGCAGCGATCACCGAATGGTCAGAGGCACACTGAACCTAAACGTTAAGTTCGAGAGGTCTCGTCTAATGAAGTCACGCTCCGTCCCCCTCGTGCTCTGTTCCAGAGTCCCGAAACCTTTCAGCTCGAGTTACAAAACCGTTTTCAGTGCCTAGAAGACTGCAATAAAGTGGACGATATGAATGACAAGCTCGTGGAAACTGTCCATGCGGTCGGAGCTCAGTTCTGCAAGACCCGCCGCAGAAGAACACAAAAACTCTCCGATCACACTCTTAATCTCATGGCTGTTAGACGGGAGATGAAGCTACATTTTTCAACAGATGTTGAAGTAGTAACTTGTATTAAAGAAGCGATCGAGCGGAACCAAGGCTCCAAAGTCTTTGCCAGAGATTTGTCTGCTAGAAAGAGCCAACTGTCAAAGCCGAAGAAGACCGAGTGTGGCAGCATCGTTTTCGGGGCACCTGAAATTTTGAGTGAGATTGAGAGGTTCTATGGGCAGCTGTACACGTCATCGTTGGAGCCACACGCAAGTGTGAGTAACGATCCAAGAGCGAGTCTTATCCGACACTATTCCGAAGATATCCCGGACGTCTGTCTGAGCGAGATTAGAATGGCTCTCCAGCACCTTAAAAACAGCAAGGCCCCAGGCGATGATGGAATTACAGCGGAGCTTCTGAAAGCGGGTGGAAAACTGTTACTTGAAGTCCTTCAGAAGCTCTTTAATTCCGTCCTCCATGGTAACATTACACCGGAGGCGTGGAGCAGAAGTGCGGTGGTATTGTTCTTCAAGAAAGGTGACAATGCTCTCTTGAAGAACTACAGACCGATTTCCCTTCTGAGCCGCGTCTACGTGCTGTTTTCGAGAGTCATTACGAATCGTCTCGCGCGCAGACTTGACGACTTCCAGCCTCCCGAACAAGCCGGATTCCGAAAGGGCTTTAGCACCATAGACCACATACATACCCTTCGGCAACTTGTACAGAAGTCCGAAGAGTACAATTTGCCACTATGCCTGGCGTATGTGGACTATAAGAAAGCCTTTGATTCCGTTGAAATTTGGGCGGTGCTGCAGTCCCTTCAGCGGTGCCAAGTTTACTGTCGATATATCGAAGTGCTGAAGTGCTTCTACAGTAGGGCTACGATGGCTATCAGAGTACAGAATCAGAGTACGAAACCTATCCAATTGCAGAGAGGTGTAAGACAGGGTGACGTCATATCCCCGAAACTCTTCACCGCTGCATTGTAAGACATTTTCATGCTTCTGGACTGGAAAGGATACGGTATCAACATCAATGGCGAGTACATCACTCACCTTCGATTTGCCGACGATATAGTCCTTATGGCAAAATCACTGGAGGAACTAAGCACCATGCTCAATGACCCCAATAGTGTCTCCCACCGGATAGGTCTTAAGATGAACATGGACAAAACAAAGATCATGTTTAATGTCCATGTCACACCTATGCCGGTAGTTGTTGGGAGCACTAAGCTCGAAATTGTTGACGAGTACCTAGGACAAATAGTCCGACTAGGTAAGTCCAACTTCGACCGAGAGGTCAATCGACGGATTCAACTCGGCTGGGCAGTGTTCGGGAAACTACGACACATCTTGTCGTCACACATACCTCAAAACCTTAAAACGAAATTGTACAACCAGTGCGTGTTGCCAGTGATGACTTACGTATCTGAGACGTGGTCCTTCACTGCTGGCCGTATGAGGAAGCTCAAGATCGCACAGCGAGCTATGGAGAGGGCTATACTCGGGGTTTCTCTGCGTGATAAACTTAGAAATGAGGATATCCTCAGTAGAACCAGAGTAACCGACATAGCTCAACGGATTAGTAAGCTGAAGTGGCAGTGGGCCGGCCATATAGCTCGAAGAACCGACAACCGATGGGGAAGAAAGGTTCTCGAGTGGCAGCCTCCTACCGGTAGGCGAAGTGTAGGGCGACCCCCACGAGATGGAGTGACGACCTGGTAAGACATGCAGGAAGTCGATGGATGCAGGTGGCTCAGGACCGTGCTTTGTGGCATTCCTTGGGGGACGCCTATGTTCAGCAGTGGACTTATGAAAGGCTGTAATGATGATGATGATAATAAGTAGATAAGTACATAATATCAGGCGAGTAAGTCATAATATGATATCTTTGATATATTAAGTGAGATGTTATTTTAAAACTGGGTAAAAGTTTTTTAAAACTATTTTACAACTGCGTAAATGTCATATAACATTCATGAAATTGGCATTCCCTCTACCATCCATTCTCTTATTATCGATAATCGATAATAATAAAAATTTTAGGCTGCGACTGCGCCTGATACGAGGGGCGTTCAATATATTCTCGGGTATGGGTATGTTAGAAACAAGATAAAATTATGAAATATTTTTTATTTTTCAATGTAGTCTCTCATGACATCAGTACATTTAATCGCTGAAAATCTTTTTTTAAGTTAAGGAATAAAAAGTAGTCAATAGAGGCTAGATCTGTGCTGTACTGCTGCCGCAGTCTCGTACAGCATTGCTTCTCTCAAACGGGGTAAAGAGGCTGAGTATTTGTCTGCGTTTATGGGTTTCACTTTTTTTTGTGTACGCAATCAATAGTATTCCTTTGGTATTCCAAAACACTGTGGCCATGATCTTACCATACAAATTAATAATTAATTGTTTTCTTTTAATTAAGTTATATTATTTTTAGTAAATACTTAATATTTAAATATTGGTGGATAACTATACTAAATAAATTACGGTACAAACTTGATGGTGGAAATTTTTGAAGTAATAATTAGACGGAAAAATAACGGACCATTTTCACTAAAATTATCATAATTAATTTTTTCTGGTTTCTGTTACATAGTTTATTTGATAAATTACGGTGTTTCAGACTTGGGTAATTTATGTAACTGTGGTAAAACTATACAACTGTCAACTTTTGAGAAATACGAAAAAAAAGATCGAGGAAAAGCCAAGACTTATTCGGCAGATTTTTTTTAATAATTGTAAAAACAATTGGGACAGCCTGGATTAGAAAAGTTTGAGATATAACAAGTGATAATTAAATTAAAAATTTAATCATCTATGAAAATGTTAGAAGCGTTTGTATTAACTGCCTATTTTGCAAGAAGTGTTCGAAATTCGAAATAAACGTAATTTAATGCAAAATATATACGCTATTAGAATTTTAAATCGATTAACCTCGCTAAAAATGAGATATTTATAGGCAAAAATGTTTTATTAATACAGACAAAATTTTAAATGAGGCATTCCATCTTAGTCCTCACGGGTGACAACGCATCTACATTTTGATTTGTAATAGAAGATAGATGTAGATGTCTATGGGCCGCAGCAACCACTTACCATCAGGTGGACTGTGTGCTCGTTTGTCACCCTTATCCTATAAAAAAAAAGACAGCATAGAAGAAGAGAGAGAATGAAATTTTTATTTTTTTCTTGCATAGAAATAGTTTCAACGCTTTTATGAAAAAAAATTTTCTTTAAATTAACTTAATTATTATTAATTTTAATTATTTGTAATATTAAATTTTTTTGTGTCTAATGTGTATACATAAAAATTTGGAAATTCCTTACATATCATACTTTTTTAGAAATGATCGCTAATTTAGTCAAGTAAACAAAAATTACTAAGAAAATATTTTTAAAATTTTTTTAAAAATCTAATTATTCTGAAAGGAATGTGAAGTACAAAAAAAATTAATTGATATGGTAATCAAATTCCGTAGTTCCGTAGATCTACGGGAAATCCGTAGAGTTGGCAACACTGGCTTCCAACGCAATTCTATCTGGATCGTCTTGTCGCTTCTTTCGCTTTCCACGGCCGCAGATCAGAGCCCTGTAACTGTGATTTCATAAAATTATGACCACACTTGAAAAACATTATCTAGATTTGAAAAATCCATCAAGACTTCTTTTTTATTAGTAAACTTATCAAGAGTAAGAATGAAAGTAAATTTGTCCACTTTTATATCCCTAAAATCCATAACAATGCAATTTGAAAAAGTGTAATAATATATGGCCGGTAAAAAGAATAACTTTTTTCAACAACTGCAATAGCGTCGGTAATCGTTATAACACAGAATAAATAATAGTACAAGAAGTTATAATAAATTGGAATTATTATTATTTACCTATACGATTATTGAACTTTCCTTCATACTTCATCCAGGCTTAGGACTGGCTACAATTAGTTTAAAACTGCAGGCGTACTTAAAAGTTCAATTCATTTTATGTACATTAGGAATTTGTACAATTATTTAACTGATTACTAACGGACTAATTAACTGACGAAGCCGTGATGTTATTATTCTTATTATTTTTTTGTAAATTTTGACAAATAAGTACAGGTTTGGAAAGATCTAGAAGACTGTAGGCAAGCTTTGCTAGCAATAAATAGCCGTTTAAACAAGTTTCTAATAAGACAACCTATAGATCAGGACAGCAGAGTACTATTACAGGACATTTATTCAATATAGGTGTTACAGACAATCCTCTGTACAGAGGTAGCATATAGGGATAAGCATATCGGCACGCCGAGGTCATTGGCAACATCACAGGACTGCTCAACTTCTTCGAGGAGTTTTCATGGCATCATCAAATAATCATAATATTTCTGCCCACACGTATAATACGCGCTTAGATTTCGAGTTGCGGAAAATAGCCCGTTGTAAACTAAATAAAACTAGGCATTATAAAGAACATCATGGTGAACAAGAGATCCATTTTAAATGCTGGAAATGCGGATTCACGGTGCCAGAGGGAAAGCGTTATTCCCGAAAAATTGAGTCACAGCACTGCAGTGTCTCGGTGTGAACCCAAGTAGGACGGAGCGAGAGCGAAGCTAAGGAAATTGGGCGTAATTGATAAATCGTTGCTCGTCAACATGCCACCTCAGTAAGTATTACCTTGTTACCCAAAACCTAAGTAGTACTCCGCAATATACTCTATTGGGATCGAGTGTGACTCGGAGAAATAACAGAGAGGATTAACATTTCACAGTTTATCTTCATTGCTTCAGCCGCGCAATGGAGAAAAATTGTACCGCACCACACGGAAAATAAAACCGCAACACACCTGCCAGATATTCAGGGATTCTCCTAGTAAATTAAAGCAGGGCAAAACTAAATTAGTAAACTCGAGCGTTGAAACTAGAAGATAATGTAGAAAAGGGAAGACAACTAGAAACTTTTACAGAAGACATCCCACGGCTCTACTCATAATGATAGTCCACAGCCTAACCATTATATATGGGCACGGAACAACCTTACTATAAAACAATTTACAAGTAAACGAATATATCTACTACTTTTAAAACTATTATTCATGACATTTTAGACACTTTTTGAAAACATAAGGACCATTGGTATGACGGCATGTTTTTATCCTGCTGGTTGAAAGCTATCCCGGTCTCATCTGGAAAAATAAAGAAATCGCATGGTGCTAGGTCTTGGAGGATTCGCAGAACCTTCACAAATTCCATCACGAAGAGAAACATGGCCACGGTCAACTTCCGTGAAAATGTACCAACGCCTTACGTAGCTCAAATTCTTCTCAAAAGCATTTTGAAGACGAGCAGTGCAATCTTGCTAAGGAGTGAACTTTTAAAATCATAAAAGTCATCGCCCTAAAACCTTTTCGCGTCAATTTTATTTTTGCACGGATGACGAAACCTGTGATAAAAAGCAATTGACACTCGACTTTCGGCCAAAAATTATTTTGTTCGAATTTCCTATGTTTTAAAAATACAACATTCGAAATTCAAACATTTATGACCAGGCACAGAGTTTCCAGAATGTGTTATGTATTACATCAACGACGATAAAATTCACTCCATGAAAGAGATGGGCATTAAGTGGAAATTTAACGCACTGGCATGGCCTACCATGTTGGACCATCAGATGGATATGGCACCGCGGGGATGAGGAATTTCATATTCAGTGCGGAAACGGCGCTGCAGGATTGATAACACCATCATTAAGACAAAGTCTGTTTAAAAAAATTTGCTTACAGCTTGTTTAATATTATGCCAGTGGGCTCCAGGTCTAAAAAGACCAGGGAAAGGTGTTTGAAGTGACTCGCAGGACTAGTTTCTCAAATAATTTTCTCAGAAGTGGAAGGAATACTCGCTTCTGTGATTGGAGATTTGTACACCGTGCGCGGCTTGGTGTCTTGCCACGGAATGCCACAAAAAGATGGCAAACAGATATCGACAAAAGGTTTAGAAGATGTGGCCGGGAGCAGGAGACTATCCCGCATGTATTGAACAATTGTGACTTACACTCTGCAGCGCGACAACTAAGGCACAATAATATTCAAAGCAGGCTCGTTAAGGCACTGAGATGCTCAGGACTCGTCACTACTAACCAAACCGTTGAAGGAACACATGGAGCAGCAGCGTTGCTGAGACTCGATATTGTAATTCAAGACGAGCGAAGTTAATAAATTCTAAGAATAAATAAATTTGCTTGTCTCCATTAGGGACTTGGTATGTATACATAGTATTTAACAATATCTTTTGTAACATACATACTAAAAAGCAAATAAATAAGTAAATAGATCAAAATTGTAGACGCCACTGTTCCGTTTGAAAATAGTTTGGCAGCGTTCAGGGCTACTAGAATGGAAAAGATCACAAAGTATGGTAGCCTGGCAGAACAACTTAGGGCACGAGGATATCGGGTCAGTGTCAACGCATCCCATCCGCCCAGGGAACCCACTCTCTGGGCGGATGGGATGATAACAATCAAAGAGTTTTGGACTTCCTCAAAGTTGGTCGCTTCTACGCCGGGATGATGAGGAGGTTTATGATAAGTGACACAATTAGAAGGTCTCGTGACATATATGTGGAGCACGTGAGCGGGATACGACAGTACACGGTGGAACATGATTTGGATCGATCGATCAATGTTAGGTCGTAACATAATGTCGTCAAGTAAAATCTTATATTCCTATAGGTTTAAACTACTACGAGCATTACGTCCGTTCTGACTGAACCTTTTGTAAACTTATTTCATCACTATCACGCTTAAAAATTTTCATCATTTTATTAATTATTAATTCATTAATTTATTCACTATCTGTTCTTTTTAGCTCTTTGCCGCTATAGTTGCTGACAGCGTTAAGACCTGGGCAGTCGCCAATAGAAGATATAGCACGTCACAAAAGGGATTTCTTCCATATGAGGGATGCTATGAGCATAACTTTGTGCTTCAGGAGACCATCCAACAGGCCAGGCGCGATAAAGGAGAGGTTGTTGTTGCCTGGTTGGACTTGGCCAGCGCATTTAACTCTGTTCCTCACTCGTCTATTCATAGGGCTCTTGAACAACACGGAATGCCAGCGAAAGTAAGAAACGTAATCGATTCGCTTTACAAAGACACGAGAACTAAAGTTCGTACCTCGGAGGGATTCACTGACCCAATCAGGCTGCAGTCAGGGGTGAAACAGGGTTGCCCGCTTAGTCCGCATATATTTAATCTCACCCTGGAGGTAGTTATCCGCGCAATGGAATTGACGGGTGAGGGATTCAAAATAAGGAATAGGCGTATTACAACTCTGGCTTACGCCGATGACATCGTAGTCCTTGCCGACACACCAGAGGGAATGAGACGTCTCCTCAATGCAGCTGAGGAGGGCGCTCGGTCGGTTGGTCTTGTTTTTAATCCCGCCAAATGCGCGACACTGCACATAAAGAGTGATTGTGAGAGTGCGGTACAAGATACAATTCTTAACATCCAGGGGGAACCTATGAAATCACTGGGCCCAAATGACTACTATGAACATCTCGGGATACCAACAGGCTATGATGTTGGACAGACTCCAACAAGCGCATTGAAAAAACTACTCGCTGATGTCAAGAAAATTGACGAATCCCTCCTGGCACCATGGCAGAAATTGGACGCAGTCGGCACCTTTGTCCTGCCTCGCTTGTACTTCATCATGCAAGGGGCTGACGTCGAAAAGGATTACTTGAGGGAGGTAGATAGAATAGTAAAAAACTTTGCCAAGAGATGGTTAAATCTTCCTCACAGAGCCAGTTCAGAGTTAGTGTTTCTGCCACCCTCTATGGGAGGTGGAGGATTAATGCCATTAAGCGACCTGCTCGACTTATACACCGTCACGCACGCTTTTAAAATGCTATGTGCTACGGATGATCTGGTGTGTGAACTGGCTAGGGAGGGATTGAAGGAGACTGTGTCGGAGAGACTTCGAAAAGTGCCTAGTAACATCGATATGGCTCGATATCTCTCTGGTGATCTGGATTTGCCTCGATCCACATCGCGCTCTTCGTTTTGGACCAAAGCGCGAAGTGCGGCACGAAGAATGCAAAGTAAAATAACCATCAGATGGATATGGCACCGTGGGGAAGAGGAATTCCATATTCAGTGCGGAAACGGCGCTGCAGGATTGATAACACCATCATCAAGACAAAGTCTATTTAAAAAAAATGCGCTTACAGCTTGTTCAATATTATGCCCGTGGGCTCCAGGCCAAAAAAGACCAGGGAAAGGTGTTTGAAGTGACTTGCAGGACTGGTTTCTCAAATCATTTTCTCAGAAGTGGAAGGAATACTCGCTTCTGTGATTGGAGATTTGTTCACCGTGCGCGACTTGGTGTCTTGCCACTGAATGCCATAAAAAGATGGCAAACAGATATAGACAAAAGGTGTAGAAGATGTGGCCGGGAGCAGGAGACTATCCCACATGTATTGAACCATTGTGGGTTACACTCTGCAGCGCGACAACTAAGGCACAATAATATTCAAAGCAGGCTCGTCAAGGCACTGAGATGCCCGGGACTCGTCACTACTAACCAAACCGTTGAGGGAACACATGGAGCGGCAGCGTTGCTGAGACCCGATATTGTAGTTCGAGACGAGGTTAGTAAAGAGATCAAAATTGTAGACGTCACTGTTCCATTTGAAAATAGGTTGTCAGCGTTCAGGGCTGCTAGAATGGAAAAGATCACAAAATATGGTTGCCTGGCAGAACAACTTAGGGCACGAGGATATTGGGTCAGTGTTAACGCATTTATAGTGGGTTCCCTGGGCGGATGGGATGATAACAATCAAAGAGTTTTGGACTTCCTCAAAGTTGGTCGCTTCTACGCAAGGATGATGAGGAGGTTTATGATAAGTGACACAATTAGATGGTCTCGTGACATATATGTGCAGCACGTAAGCGGGATACGACAGTACACGGTGGAACATGATTTGGATCGATCGGTCAATGTCGTAACATAATGTCGTCAATTAAAATTTTACATTCTATAGGTTAAACTATTACTACGTCCGTTCTGACTGAGCCTTTGTAGACTTATTTCATCACTATTACCTTTAAAATTTTCATCATTCACTAATTTATTCCCTAATTTTCTTAATTATTAATTGATTTATTCATTGATTGGATGATACAATTTTTTCCATACTAATTTTCTATCGGTAACATCGATTTAATATTTTCACAATATATTTAATAACGGACAAATATAATTATGTGACTGGGAGGAGCTACTGTACCTTTAAAGTAAACAAAGTTCAAATCGAAATACTTATTAAAATACGAGCAAACATTATAGGACTCTCTCAGCTTTTGACACCCTCCATTGGGGGGCAGTATTTTCGATAAAAAATCTGTTCTTTTCAGCTTAATATCTGAAAGTTCCCGCACTGCGGGACCAGTATATTAAACTGATTTTTGAAAAGCGACGGGATGTTCGGGGCTCGCTCCACTCCCGTCACGGGTCGGCCCGGCATTGCAGTGCCGCCGGGATCGGCCCACATATATAAAGTTAAACAAAAACAATTTAATTAAAACCTAATCCATCATCAGGTCACAGTTGAGGAAACTGCCTGGAAAGTGAAAACTCTTAGAAAGATTGGGAGTGACCAGACGACGTCAGCGTCGTTTGCTCAATCATACTTTGAGTTCAGTTCAGTTTGAGTTTTCTCTTGTGAAATTGTGTTGTGTACCTAACTTGTAAACTTGTAATGTTATCAATTGCAAACAGTGTAGAGCAAAGACCAACGACACGTTTACATCGATTCGCAATAAATAGGTATATTATATTACCTTTTACCTATATATTATTATTTAATTTATAATCTTAAATATAACATATTAAAATCTAAACATAATAATATTATTGTGTGCAATGAATGAAATTAATCATTTATGTATTTAATTATTCGCGGTCATGTTGTACTCGTATATAGAGCGGCGCGAACGAAGGAGGTTAAGGTGAACAGCAGTAACGTTGCGCATACTCATGAGATAGGTACCCCCACCGTATAGTAGGTAATTAGTACTTAACACTACATAACATACAGTACCTACAGCTGTACAGCCCCACAACACGTAACGAGCAGCGAGCGCATAACCAACTAACTATCACTATCCGTTCGTACGTCGTCGTGTAGACTGTAGAGACATACCGATGGAATGGAATGCAAATGCAATGCAGCGACAGCGAGTGTGCAGTGTGCAGTGTGCAGTAAGTGGGTACGGGTAGCGGGGCGGGTACGTGTATCGCAGTCGCGCTGTGCAGCGTGCAGCATGCAGCGTGCAGTGTGTGCAGTGTGCACAGGGGCAACAAGCAGTGCGAGGGCGGAGCGCTGCTGGCGAGTCTGTCCCGGGGATGACCGGGATGAAAACAACCAGAGTCTAAGACTTCCTCAACATCGACTCGGTCTAAATTAAAAATGCCGTTAATAAATCTGACCTTTGTTGATGGCTCCGTGCCGCAGTGGCTTATCATTGAGTTGCGGCGCTGAGGGCCGCGAATTTGAATCCCGGCATTGACCAAGTGTTTGTATGGCCTACAAATAATTGTACCGTGTATGGATTTTAGTCCATGTGGAATTTATATATGTAAGACGATACAAAATACACGATATTTTTATATTATATATTTGAAATAAATGTAAATTATATATGTATGTATAACGTTACACGTCATAATAGACCAATGACTGTATCGTATCACCTTAAACAAAAGCGTAGCTAGCAAGTTACCTATTGTAATTTGAAATAACATTTAATAATTTGTTAAAATTTATAAAAATGTACGCACAGATCTCGTACTGAACACATCTTTAATTTCACCCTCAAGAAATCCTAGTCGAATTTTATAAAAGTATAGTCAAAATTGTGAACCTATTAATTAGGTACGGTGTGGTAACATTATTTTTTAATTAAAAACATTAAATAAAATGAAAGAAAATATATGGCTACCTACTAGTGTGGTTATCAAGGTTCTTCTATAGTTCCAAAAAACACGGTACCCTTTTTATAGGCGCCTCATTATCTGATCGTTATGGCGGTCTTGGTGTCGATAAAGCAGTAAATACTATGAAACCACCAATCCCCAAGAGCGTGCTGTACAGTATATCACCATTAACAGAACCTGGCGAATTACAAGGAACAATATGCTTTAAAATCATGCATTGATCTTGACACATTCGGATAAAGAAGTTGAACATGCGTCTTTGACAGCTTGTTGCCTCGCATAATACCTCTAAAGCCAAGTTTGACTGTTCATTAGGGAACTACACTACCCCAATGTTGCAGTTCCACATTGAACTTGACAAATAAATTACAAACCTAAACAAACTAATTATTATTGAATCTAGTTAAAATATATATGGGACCACAGTGAACGTAGTATACGTTCTTTCTATTGTGCTAAATAGATTAAAAACACGTAAGTATGGAACATCAAAACTCCTTTATATCTCCTGAAATTCGCTTTAATAAACTTTGAAGAGGATCTTACCAGAGGTTGAGATTTAAGGGAAAAAGTGTGAAATTATTTTCTGTCTTTGAGGTCGACTTTTACTTTTTAATTACATCCTTATATCAACTAGCGGCCCGCCCCGACTTCGCCTGGGTGGGGTCTATTAATGTGACGTTATTTAGATTTAAGACAGAGATTTAAGATAGAGAAATCGTTTAACTTACATTTTATCTCAACTTTTTTATCATATCCTACCTACTTTTTGTAGTCTGAGTGTAAGCTCTCAGACGAATTAATTCTGCTTATTATGCAAACAAGGCGTGAACAACAATAACATTATAGATTATACACATAAATAGTAAAAGTGTCGTCACGCTATCAGAACAATTGGACAAAGGAATTTCTAGCACTACTGACTACATTATCTACAACAATTTGCAAAACATACAAAAATAAATCATCCTCTCTGTGGATTATGAGGGAGGAGGGTTTGGTTCCATCAAAACAGTGATATCTATATTAAATTAACTAAATTATTATTAATTTTAATTATTTGTAATATTTAATTTTTTAGTGTCTAATGTGTTTACATAAAAAATTTGGAAATTCCTTACATATCATTCTTTTTTAGAAATGATCGCTAATTTAGTCAAGTGAACAAAAATTACTAAGAAAATATTTTTATAAACTTTTTTAAAAATCTAATTATTCTGAAAGGAATGTGAAGTACAAAAAAAATTAATTGACATGGTAATCAAATTCCGTAGATTTCAACTCAAATTCCGTAGTTCCGTAGATCTACGGGAAATCCGTAGAGTTGGCAACACTGGCTTCCAACGCAATTCTATCTGGATCGTCTTGTCGCTTCTTTCGCTTTCCATGGCCGCAGATCAAAGCCCTGTAACTGTAATTTCATAAAATTATGACCACACTTGACAAACATTATCTAGATTTGAAAAATCCATCAAGACTTCTTTTTTATTAGTAAACTTATCGAGAGTAACAATAAAAGTAAATTTATCCACTTTTATATCGCTAAAATCCATAACAATTAATTTGAAAAAGTGTAATAATATATGGCCGGTAAAAAGAATAACTTTTTTCGACAACTGCAATAGCGTCGGTAATCGTTATAACACAGAATAAATAATAGTACAAGAAGTTATAATAAATTGGAATTATTATTATTTACCTATACGATTATTGAACTTTCCTTCATACTTCATCCAGGCTTAGGACTGGCTACAATTAGTTTAAAACTGCAGGCGTACTTAAAAGTTCAATTCATTTTATGTACATTAGGAATTTGTACAATTATTTAACTGATTACTAACGGACTAATTAACTGACGAAGCCGTGATGTTATTATTCTTATTTTTTTTTGTAAATTTTGACAAATAAGAACAGTTTTGAAAAGATCTAGAAGACTGTAGGCAAGCTTTGCCAGCAGTTTAAACAAGTTTCTAATAAGACAACCCATAGATCAGGACAGCAGAGTACTATTACAGGACATTTATTCAATATAGGTGTTACAGACAATCCTCTGTACAGAGGTAGCATATAGGGATAAGCATCTCGGCACGCCGAGGTCGTTGGCAACATCAGAGGACTGCTCAACTTCTTCGAGGAGTTTTCATGGCATCATCAAATAATCATAATATTTCTGCCCACACGCATAATACGCGCTTAGATTTCGAGTTGCGGAAAATAGCCCGTCGTAAACTAAATAAAACTAGGCATTATAAAGAACATCATGGTGAACAAGAGATCCATTTTAAATGCTG